CTAAACAAGCATATCCTCCCACAGGCTCACACAGCCACGCTCAATTCCCCTTACTTTTCCTACCGTACTCTGTAAGTAATTCTGCCAAAGTCTTTGAACTAGATCCTCAGTGGGTGTAAACTGCCATTGCTCCACTGAAGTGAATGCTGCTATGTGGCTCTTATTATCTGAGAAGCTGTCCCCTACCTGGTTACTATTGCCACAGTATCTGAGCACCCCATTACAACACCACCCTTGTGAGACAGGGCAGTGCCATCATCCACAGCTACTGAGTGTGAATGGAGGCAGAAAGCTGCTTCATGACTTGTCCCAGCTCACAAAGGAAGTCTGTGATGGGGTGGGGACTGAACTTGAGTTAGCATCCACCCACCAGACCATCCTTCATCTTTCAGACTTCCCTTGAAGTACGGTGCTATTCACCACTGCTGACACTTTAAAACAAAAAGCTATGCCAAGACAAGCTACCTCCAGCCCTCCCAAATAAGCACATGGAAGTCAGGGAATACCACAGCTATGGCTGTACACACAAGCCTTGCTCTGACCGCTCCTCCTTCATGTGGTATATCTGTCTATTGTCCATCACCCACTGAAAGTGCCTGGATCCTAGATATGGCATACAAATAACAAAGCAATGTGCACTGAAATGAGAAGTAGAAAATATTCTGTAAAGCAAAGAACAAAAGATCATCCCTGCCCCCACCCCCCAGATCTCACATATCACTCCAAAAGTCAAGACATAGAAAATCTGATTCTGGACTGAGATTTGTGCCTTGGGGAAAATTCCTAGGAAATACCATAGGACTAATTTCAAGAGAAATATCAAGAGAAGACCAAGAAGAACCTGGTTGAATTCAGCTATAAGGAATGCACGCAGGTCCTCCTCAAGCTAAAACTGAACTAAACTGCTTCTGCACAGGGGAAAGGTTGGGCAATCAGGACTTCATAGCTGCCGTCTCATGAAGTGGCACAGTTTTGCCCGATGGCTCTACATCCACCATCTCAAGGCATTATCACTCAAAGGTTGGAGAACAGAGACATTGTTTGGCGACGCAGGAGCTTTAAGGAAATCAGACACACAGTCTGCCATCCTACTTCCGCTACATCAGACCAGGGGAGATAAAAAGACATGGAGATTACTGCCATTGCATCCCTTTACTCTTCTTTTCCTGAGTTGGGTCGGTCTTTTGCAGAACGTCCTGAAAGAGAAAGAAAAGGATATGAAGCTTAAAATAGGCCATTGAAATAGGTATGTCAAATGCTGAGTAGACCAATAAGTAGATGCCTTTACATAGAAGCATCGCAGAATAGACATCAGAGCAAGCACCTGGCTTTTCTAGTCTCCCGTGCCACTGAACAGCTACTTGTAGCATTCAGAATGCAAGAGAACATCCATTGAAATCATTTATTGGTGAAGGTAGTTTCCAGAAGTCCTCAAAATCTTGATGGATTTTTTTTGTTTTGTTTTTATAGAAAGTTGTCACGGACATGCACAAAATCTTTTGCATAAGGTGTTCCTTTTTCTTATTTATTTATGAAACCAGCCATTTGAGTATCCAAATGGCATCTCTTCCCTGCACCGCAATGCTCTCAAGGCTACAGTCAAAGAACACAGACTCGTCCAGTGGCTCCCATCTGCGAGCACCAAACCCAGAAATGCAATGGTGAAGGTGCTCTGGGGACACTCCTGGCACTGCTCTCCAGCACTCTGGAGACCAAGTTTTCCAAACTGAGAGCAGAGCAGTCCTAGAGCACGTCCACCACTACATTTCCAGGTGGGAAACGTGAGAGCAGAGCAAGTAGGTGGGGCATTTTTGGCCACAGCCTTGAAAGCGTAAGGAATGCTGTGTAGACTGATTCCAAATTTAGCAAAGGTTCAAAATTACGACGACTTAGTGCTAAAATTGCAAATTGCCCCCTGAATTTTACAATCAGCTCCACCAGTGAAACAAGCTGATCCTACTCCCTGGGACCCACCATTACTGGCATGAGACTCTATCCTTTGGCAAAGACACCTGCAAGATTAATTGTACAAGGTTTGGTGTTGCTTACAATTTCTCACTGAGAGTGCTACCGCAGGGGTGTCAAACTCAGGTTGGATGGAGGGCCACATTCCCTGCTTTTCAGGTGCCTGCAGGCCACAGCCCAACTCTCATACAGGCAGTCCCAGCAGCATTGCAAATGGAAGTCCTACCATTGTGACCAGAAACCCATCTCATATCATGGTGGCAGTGCTACCTGGCAGTAGTAACCAGAGTCCTAGCAAGAGGCAGAAACACTGCTATACCATGGGCAGAGCTGGAATAAAAGTCCTCTGGCTGGATGACCTGGCTCCTTGGGTTGGATACAGCCTGCAGGCCATAAGTTTAACATCCACAAATGTGCAACACAGAGAGAGAGGTGGAATAATTGAAATTACGACATTGCTGCTGGTTCCCTAAAGCCATGAATCTCTGCTCTCTTACCGTGATAGCGCTGGACGGGAGGGTAATCATAGAAACGTCAGAGGTTGAAGGTTGTCCCTTTGTGCGTAGACGACACTTCTTACACAAGTTCCAATACTCCTCTCTCACCTGGGGAATGAAAGCCCACAGTCACTAATGGGATCTTGACAGGGATTAAGCATAAATCCCTGACTGTATCTTGATGCTCAGAGTCCCACAGCAAAAGCAAAGTTTGCAACCTGGCCTGCTGACTAAATCCCAACATTGCCAATTCTGCACATGACTGTCTTGAGTGGAGAGTTGGATGAGGTGACCATCTGTAATGCCTTCCAGTCCTATTTTCCTATGATTTTTTATTCTGTTCTGTGGGCCAGGTCCTCAGCTGATATTGGGCTTCACTGGACCAATCTTAATTTCCCCACAAAGGATCCAGACCAGTTGTCTCAGGGTTCAACAGCTGTGTTGAGTTAGTGTATGATGCTGAACAGCTCTCATGCTGTGGTCCCAGAGGTGGATGAATTTTAGGGATGCATAAAGCAACTCCTAAACAGATCAAGCTCAGTCACGCTCCCCACCACCTTCCTGCTGAAATAACCACAGGAAGATCTAGACGGTATGAACACACCATGGAGGACCCCATACCAAGGTTCCCTGAAATCAGGAGAGGAGGCCTGTCACCATCTCCAGTAGTGTCAGCCTCTTAAAACATGCAGAGGTTGGAGCCTGATATCCGTCCTTGTTCTGTCTCACAACACTGGACTGTTCTCCCTTTCCCACCCCTCTTGTCATCCCCAAGGGAAGTTCAGGCCCAGCCTCTGCTGCTGCCTCTGGGCTGGGTGATCACCTTTCTATTGAGCAGGCAGTGCACGAGGAAGATGAAAGTTCCCTGGATGCTGTTGACGATGGTGAAGAGGTATGCCATGAACCAAGCCAGGTCCCCAAACTGGAAAAGACCCAGCACCCAAGAGATGCCCATGATGAAGAGATGAGCCAGCGCTTTGAATGTCAATAATCTGAAACAGGGGAAACAGCAGCAGTGAATGTGGGTGGGATAGCACCAGTCAGGAGGGCAAGACCAGTGAAGCTGCAATCTGAAAGCAGTCTCCCCCCAGGGTCCCTGCTGTAGGGGCTCCTTGCAAATGTATCCTGCTCCTCCTCAACGTTCAGTAAGGATCAGGGAAAGAGGCTGCTACTGCTAATGGGAGTGTGTGCAGGCTGGTAATGGGGCAATGGCACAGGTCAGTTAAATCCCCAGCATCAAGGGAGGAGAGCAGCTGTAGTGGTTTGAGGAGACCTCAGTCAGGTTCCTGGAGCTGCTACATAAGCTTTGTGGACTGTGAGCAAGTCATGTGATCTTTCTGCATCTCAGACCCCTGGCAGATGTTCATTTAATAGCATGATGGGATCTGATCCTGGACCCCAACAATTGCCCATCCTTGCCATGCCATGCCATGCAACACATGTATAGCAGAATATATGATGTTGGGATCAGGGGTCAGATCACAATGATACCCTTTCTAATTGCCAGAGTAGGTATTTTGGGAACTTGCCACAGAGGGGCAAGTTCCCAATGCTCAGCTTTGAACTTGCTGTCTGGGGAGTGGGGGAAATGATCAGCTCCCCCCACCCACAGTTGCAGACCCTCGTGCAGCTCCAATTGGATACTCTGAGGTGCCCTGATGACAATCAGCTGATTATTAGCATGAAGACAGGGTAGCCTGGTGTTTCTGGCTAACCAGAGCTAGCTCCCTTCCCAATGCTGACAATTTGCTGACTGATCAATTGTCAGCATGGGGAGCGTCCAGATGGTTTTAGCAGCCTAGGGTGCCACACATTCAATTTAAGGTGCAATGCAAATCAGCCCCAAAGAGGCTGTGCATTAAATGGGAACCATCTTTGTGGCTGATTTCTCATTTTGTTGCACAGTTAATTGAGTGAATGTGTGGCAGGGTTACGTTTTATAGTGTGAGTACCACCATACCATCAGTGTAATGTCTGCCAGGGCCCTCGGATAATACCCCTGTAAAATGGGCTGAGTGTTTCCATGCCTCCCCTGGGTATCGTGAAGGGAAAGTGCATAGTACATAGTTTTGGTGGTGACCGACTACACCGAGAGGGGCCAGGTAAACATGTAGAGATGCCCAATTTCTCTCCCCTGGACCTTGCCTGGTATTCCTCACAGTAGATAACTCTGTATTGAGGGAGGAAAGGTGCCGTTGCAAAATTATCAGAGTAAGGCAGAAAAGAACCAAATTTATCTGTAAAAGAAAAAAAAAGTGATGAATGTTAGTTAAATGAAATGGAAGACCTAGCCTCTCATGGGGACGTCTACCCGGTAAGCTTACTGTAGTCCTAAGAGGTGCCCTCACATGCTGCACTGCTCAGGGCAGGCTGCTTCTTAAACAAGAAATAATGTAGCCACATCCAGGCAGTGCCTTCAGCAGGCCAATGAATATCACTATGGCAAAGTGCCACTTTCTCCCTGCTAATTAGCCTGCCCCTGGTGCCACACGGACATGGCTGTATAAGCGGCCCACCTGGAGGAGCACAGTGCACTTGATCTCCCCGCTCTGGCACACAGTCAGCTCTACGACGGCCTAGCTCCTGATTTGACTTCAGT